CTAGTAATTTTGTTCTTCTGATGAGGAGGCCCCTTTAGCTGCCTTCGAAAGCGATTGAGTGCTCTAATATATGTACGCTAAATACAAGGTTGTTATTACGATTTTGATTGTCCCACACTTGTTTAATGAGATTTAAATCAGGGAAACATGCTGGCCATCCATTCTGTAGCCATATTTTCACTTTCCAGGAGCTCCTCAACAGTCTGAGTCCAATATGCTCGTGCATTATGATCCATAAAAACAAAGTCGGAATGAATGGCACTCCGAAAAAGACGCATGTGAGGGAGGAAAACGTCATTACAGTAACGATCTCCGGTAACTGAATTTCTGTCGAAAATATCGAGCTCCGTCCATCCGTTCATCATATCTCCCCATAAGAGGACGCCAGGACCACCCTAGTGGTATCTTTCCCTGATGTTAGAAGGATGAAAGCGTGCTCCTACGTCTTACCATATCAACAGGCGCCTATAATCGTTTTTCACACTGAAACTAATCTCATCCGTAAAGAGGACGTGACTCCATTTTTAAGGTGTCCAATCTAATAAAATGTTCTCTACACCACTGTAAATGGTGCCACCGATGAGTTGCTGTGAATGGTATGCAGCGCTCAGGACGTTGGGCGAATATGCACCTTTGATAAAGTCGTCTGGCCACAGTAAACCGGGAAATCTGTCATTCTATTTATGCTGTGATGCACTATGCAAAGTATTAGAACGTTTTAAATGAGAACTTTAAAATATAAGTACAAAATCTGCGTGCCAAAAAAATTTGTAGTATATCGAAGCAGTAGCCCTAAGCATACAGCTCGCTTGTACAACTGTCCAGAAGTGATAAAAACAATCAATCTCATGATTTAGATCAAATTAAACATATCTGGAATTAATTACAAATGTAAATTAGGAGGAAGGATTTCATCAAAAACCGAATCGAAAAAAGTGATGAGAAACACCTAAGCAATGTTGTCCGCTGCCTGGTTTCGCGCTCTTTTCTCTTGCAAGAAGATATATCAGTCACAGTTTCTTTCCTTGGCTGAACAACACTACCAACCTTTCTTACAGCTGTAACCTGTCGTTTGGAAACCTTTCCACGCTCATGAAACAACACTTTTATCAGTTTCAAATTCTTAAGAGACAGACGCTAAACTCCTCAAGCTTGCCAATCATTTTACCATGTTCAAAATCATCCTGGTGTTTTCTTGTAGCCAAACTGCAAGTATTTCACTTTCAGCTGCAGAAGGACTGGAAATGCGCGCTTCTTTCTTCTTTTTAAGTTGCCCTGCATTGCGCGAGTTGTTCTGCATGCCCCGACGTACTCTCTGACGTCATGCTGCTAATATTTGCATATGCAATCACCTTTTCAGCGCTTTCATCACCCTTTAGGTTTTTCATTGCATTGGTCGAATAAAGCTTTTTTCCAAAATTTCATGTCTGTACGTTAAAAAATGAATTTGTTGCTTAAGGTGTGCATTTAAAACACGTTGCTTTTGGTAATCATAATGCAGGCACCTGCAGGGCTGGCGCTAGGCCTTTTTGTTGCCCTGTGCAATTTTTGTGGCTCCTAAATTATGCCCTCAGTGTCTTCCTAAATTAAAAAAAAAGTGCTTCGCCTCTAATATCTACCGCCCGGTGCAGTTGCACAAATTGCACTAGCTCCTGATCAAAACTTGGTTTATAGGTTAGAGCATAGAAACATTGGGGGGAGGGGCAAGAAAGAAATTTTAATTACATTCTAAATTTGAACGTCTAAGTACGCTGTACAGTTGTCAGTCAAGGTTAGAATCTTTTTTACTTGGCTTTTTCATCGAAAATTCTTCATTCTATTTTTGCAGCTCATCTTCAAACAGTTTCCAGTGCTTTACGAGTAGCTTTATGGGAAACAGAAAGATACTTTTCAAGCATTTGTTTTTGAGATTTTTCAGTCACCAAAAACACGGCAAAATCACCAGGACGGCTAAGTTCCATTTACATTGGCGGCACGCAAGAAATGTGATTCGCACATCTGACAATTTTCTGAACACAATTTCCTAAACACTCCTCCACTTCATTTCTCGACATTTAATTTCAAATCGTTGAATGATTCTTCGACAATTTTTTCTAAAGAAATGTTGTTCTGCTTTTTCAGCCTATCCAACCACCCATTTCAGCATTAATAAGCAATCTTTCCAAAGTGTTTGCCAAATTCTTCGGTCTCTATCTGAAACAGTTGTTCAGATATCGGCAGATTGCGAGTATTTTTAATACTGAACAGTTTCGGGAATGTTCAGCACCGTTAGTCTTGGCTTTTCTCAAGTTTTTCCTTATATACGAATTTTCCTATGCGCATAAATTATCGAAGCTCGATTTTTTACATGGAACCAGTCGCAGATTTGGTTAAACTGTATTCCCCGCAGATATTGGTTTGGCTGTATCCATTCTGTATTTCCGAACAATATTCACCTTATCTTCACGCAGAACGCTTTACGTTTATAATTCTCTAGACGGATAAACTTTTGACTCAAAGAATTTACACCAATAGAGAGCAAAGAGTTAGGTCAAAGAACATATGAAGTTCTGCATTTCTAGAAAAATAAAAAAGGAAGGCAATGTCGTCTAATCTCTCCTATCCAATGTCCAATGAGTTGTAAAGCAAAGTGCATTAGCCTTTATAAAGAATATCTTAAATCTTGCAAAATACCTAAAGAACGTAAAACCCTCCATTCAGAAGAGGGAACTTGAAAAAGTTTCAGCTATTCAAAACAAACCAGTAAACATCAAACATTCTTGGTAAGGAAAACTCTACACGCTATTCGTCTACCCTAAGAGACTCTACACGGTAACTCTACACGCTATTCGTCTCTTAGGGAAGACGAAATCTTAGGGAATTCGTCTCTTAGGGAAAAATAAAAAAGGAAGGCAATTTTAGGGAATTCGTCTCTTAGGGAAAAATAAAAAAATAAGGCAATGTCGTCTCTAATCTCTCCTATCCAATGTTCAATGAGTTGTAAAGCAAAGAGCAATAGCCTTTATAAAGAATATCTTAAATCTTGCAAAATACCTAAAGAACGTAAAACCCTCCATTCAGAAGAGGGAACTTGAAAAAGTTTCAGCTATTCAAAACAAACCAGTAAATATCAAACATTTTTTGTGTAGAGTCCGAAACTCATAAGGATGTACCTACTGCTTCCTCTTTTTCTGAATGGCAAAAATTTCACAATTTCCATCATAAACATCATCCTTGAACACAGCTCCAAAGAGCATGAATAAAATTAGAAAACTCATTTAAATTCCTTACTTCAATGATTAAGAACATCATACAGTACCCTAAGGCAGAGGTTCTCAAAGTGTGCGCCGCGGCACCCTGTGGGACCGTGATATAAGGCCACGGGCGCCGCGAAGCGCATCTTTCTTGCTTCACGAAGAAACACGACTTGCGTTGAAAACTCGGCTTTTTATTAATGATACTTTCATTCTGTTTCTTAAAATAATAGTTCCTTAACATTTTCTCAGTATTTATATTTCAGGTGGTCATCTAATTCCATTTAAATCATATTTTTAACATTTTTATTTCTCCTTTTAATCTAAAGTAATTATTGCTCTCAATTTCTTTTTTTAAAGCGCTATTTTATTCTGTCACTTAGTTCTTTCAGGTTGCAATAATTCTATGTTGTTGCGTCAGATTGTACTCGATTATTCTCATATTGTTTTTGCACCTATTACCTTCCTCTCATATGATTGCTATATCTGCCTTTAATAATGACCAAATATCGTTCGGAAATCAATCTGGAGCAAGAAATGAAAATAGCTGTATCAAGCCATCTTCGGCGATTTGAAAAACTGTACGAGCATCAACAAACTCAAACAAATTCTTTACTAAAGGTTTCTGTTATTTATATGTTTCCTTATCGATTAAAATTGTTACACTTTTTCACTAAAATGTGGTTTTTATTCGTGTGCCTGATTAAATATTGCAATAGAGGCGTGGGAAAAAAAAACAGTATGTACGCCGCATACTGGAAAAGTTTGGGAACCCCTGTCCTAAGGTATACTTATAGTAACCTGATTCTCCAAGAATTCAAGTTACACCTCTCTCACATGGCGTTTCTTTAGCGTACAAAGGAAAATAGAAGAGAAGATAAAAGAACAGTAATGCCAAAGTTTCTCCGCTATCCTCACATTGATGATGTTAAAAGCCTTTTAGTTAAAACTTGCTAAAATTCCCGGGGGGGGGGGAAATACTAAAAAGTTTCAATCGAAAATGTCTGATTTTTTAAACAGTTGGATGTTCTCTGTAGCCGTTAGAATAATATTAAGTGTGTAGGAAATTGGGCGGGACCGAAACGTTTGTACGTTATATGCGAAATTATCAATCAGGTAAATTTTATCAGAGTTTGACTGTACATATTAAGAACAGATTAGGAAGATATCAGGTCGCATAAAAATGACGCTGCCAAAATAAAAAAAATAAAAAAATGGAAATAACTCAGCTCATTAGCGGCTAAGTGGTAAAATTAGTGAATACTTGCAGTTCGGTACAGATCAAATTCCGGCACGGGCTGGCAGCAAGGAAGTTTTCAATGGATTTTCCCAACCGTAACATGCCTACGAACTAATTCCCGCTAAAAATGTCCTCCACGAAGCCATCTCTCCTTGTGTGCTTAGCCATAATTCAGATACCCTAACCGTTAATTATTCTCACCCACCCAAATGCCATTTGAAATACTGTTTGAAGCTAAACACTTTTTCATGCATGTTCCTACAATTTCATGTAAAACAAAATCTCAAGCAGTTTGAAACGAACATTTGGTGAATGCATAAATAACTTTAGAATATTTTGTTTGTAAATAAAATACTATGAAGGTAATAACGCCGATAAATATTCTATGCTCGTCCTTTCGTTTACTCACACCTTTCACTGCTGCTATAAGACGTGCTGAACAATTTAACGCCCGATATTATAGGTAACCTAAGCGAATGACGCAAAGTATATTACTGAAGGTCAAGGAAAGGTGAAGACCTCGAGGAGGGCTGCGCCGGAACGACGAGTTTTGCTTTTCCGACAAAGGTCAATGCCTCGCATTCACACGATTCCCCCTTCCAGGCTTATATATAAGAAGGGTTTCTGCGAAACGTCCTACAAATTTGCTAGATACATTAACTTCGGAGCCAACATGTAAGTACACTTTCCTCTCTGTTTTCTAATAAATCTTTAAACTTCATTAAAACTTCTAAAATCTTTCAATATTTAAGAGAAGAAAACAAAAAAACTTACAACTAAAAAAAGTATGCATGTATGCAACTTGCGTATCTCTATAAATTATTCGAATTGTAAAAAATTAATAACGAATCTTTTTCCTAAATCAGACTCGGATGAAATGGTATTTGTATAAGAGCTCGTTTTGCAAATAAATTCGATTTTTTACGGTTTTGAAATTTTTCTAAAGACTTTAAATAATAGGCGGGATTTGAAATCGATATTAGTGATATCTGCATCTTTCCTGCTGTGTTTATAAATAGATAAACAAATCCTAAAATCTGATTTTGTTTACATCAGTTATGCAATAACGATAATATGCTTTCGCAGATAGTAATGTTAAGAAAATCTCTTGCAACATGATTAATTATTCCGTCAATTAATACGCGTTAACAGAATACAGTAAACAGTAAAAATACTTATATTTTTTTCTGATAATAAATTATCCAAGCTAGAACAATAGGTAAAATTTATTCAGTATCAAACACTTCATTAGACTACAATTTCAAATAAATAATTTTTTTTTTTTTTTCTTTTTTTCAATTTCTAATGCAATTTGTAATACCTGGCGATCATTAATGAATGAAAATGAAATATGAAAAAAAAAAAAAAAAAAAAAAAAAAAAAAATTCATTTCATGTGAAAAAAGAAGCTTGAAAAGATAAAATACCGTGTTTAATGATTTTAATTATAAAATAGTATACATTAATATTATAGCAATAATAAATAAAAATTATATACTAAAGAATTTTTTTTAATCAATCAAGATTTAAAAATCTGACAAGTTTTTCACGTATTGTAGAGCAGCATTATAATATAATCTTTATGCACTAGATAATATACTGAATCACGCGTTCGCAAAATAAAAAAATTACGATTGCTAATTTTCTCCGTTATTTTATAAGCATAAACTTAATTTTTATACGTTTTATGCTTTCAGGAATATCAAAATTCTTTATTAAAAAGTGTCATAGCGTAAAAAATTGCGTTATATTTTAAGCAGCAATTTCAGGAAGTAATTTTACCGCGGAGCGAATTTTAAGAAATTCTATGAATATCAGATTTAGTTCATCGAATATATCCGCGAATTTTGCTCCTCCTTTACTTTTTTTAATTTCTCTTATAATTTTTAATGATTATTGTTATATTTTAATCATTTTTATGCTACCTTCCGTTAGAATTTCCGCAAAAATACAGTGCAAAGTAATTCTATTCTAAAATTCTTTCGAAATCTGAACTTCTGGAATACGAGAAAATATTTCAGAAGTTACATAAATTCACCCTCTGTTGCCATTCACTGTCGACAAATAAGTGTTATTTAAAACTGAAAATTCTGCGCATATGCATTTTAATTATAAACACACAATCCAATTCAATACTAATTTATCTAAAATAATGATGTTGAATATATTTTCAGGATTTCGAAAATAAATGCAAATTTCCTTAAAAAACACATAACAGTTTCTACTTAGTTACGTAACAGTTATTCGCATTATTGCTTAGTTTCGTGCGCCCAAAATGTTAACATGTTGTCTCACCCAAAACATTATTATCAAAATGCTCAACTGTTTAGTATTATTTAGTTTTATCTCAGGCCACGAATGTTTTTCGAATTTTCAATATTTACGCAAGAATTTTAGCTTTTTTCCCCCTTGATTAAATTCTGCTCTAATTACAATCCATTAGAGGTGTTCTCAACCGGGGGTAAATTCAGTCAGCCTTTTATTTAGCTTATGAATATTTAAAAAAAAAAATATTCGTGTTTTGGAATTTTAAAAAATTAAATCTAAATAAATGCATACGAATTTTTCGAGTTTTGGAAAGGAAGGAGCAGGGCAGGATGACCTTCTAGCAAGGATGAAAGAGGTACAAACGGCAAAACAGATTGAGAACCACTGCACTAGAACATAAGCGATAACCTTACACATGATCTTGCTATTTTCACAAAATATTTTGATCAATTACCGACTGCACATTTATATATATTTCACTTCGCCTATCTGTTTAATGACTGACTAATGCACTATTCTACCTTAAAATGTAAATCCAATAAATAAATTAATGCAGCAAAAATTCAACAAATATCAAACTATCTTATTAGGCTCTTATTATATTATGATTTATTGGTGATACATTCCCAAATACTATGACATCGTCTGCTGCTGCCTACACATTTTCTTTTTGTATTTCATGCTGATAGATCATCATAGCAATATTCAATAGATATTCTTTTGATAGCAATATTCTTTTGTTCCATAGCAAATTCTTTTTTTATGCAGAGCCAAATTAATCTGCCGCTGAACGAAGAAGAGTTGAATGTATGTATTACTAAAACCTCAAATCCTTTTTTTAATATTTAGAAAAAAATTTTCAAACAAATTTATTGTGTGGGGGATCTAAAATTTAGGAATTTTTAATAAACATAAAAGTAAATGTCTCAAAAGTGATGGGACACTTGTGCTTTACAAAAGGAAACTGTAGTAAAATAAATTAAAAAAACATGTAAAAATTTTTTGTGGGTGTGTTTCATACTTAAATTTAGTAACAATTATTACATAACATACATTTTCTCAAAATATTAAAATATTAATTTAATAAAAATACAATTGTTTAGAACGGAGCAAAAAATGGCTCACATAAGTGATGGGACACTTACTTTTCCATCAAATATTTATCCAAAAATTTTACTTTTTAAAAGGTTTTAATATTTTGTTGGATTTCCTTTTACTTTTAAAACATGATTTAATCTTCTTGGGATGGATTCGACTAATTTTTTTGTGATTTCTGGAGTGATTTTACCCCATTCTTCTTGAAGCACCAATTTTAATTGTTGTTTTGAAGAAATGGTGTGTTTGCGAATTCTTGATTCCAATTCTTGCCAAATATTCTCTATGGGATTTAAGTCTGGAGATTGTGGTGGTGTTTTTATTATTTCAGGACAGTTATACAGCAGCCAGAGTCTAACGTTCAAAGCAGTGTGCTTGGGGGTCATTGTCCTGGTAGAATTTAAAATCGTTATGAAGGGTCAATTTTAGTGCTGAAGATTTCAAATTTTGATTTAAAATGTCAATATACTTGTCCTGATCCATTATACTGTCAATAAAAACAAGATTACCAACTCCAGCGGACGACATACACCCCCATACCATAACTCCTCCTCCACCATGTTTTACTGTTGGCACCAAGTTCTGTTTGCGAAATTCTTCCCTGGGTTTTCTTCACACCAAGATTCTACCGTCAGAACCAAATATATTAAATTTACTCTCATCAGCAAATATAACTTCATTCCAGTAATCAGAATTCTTATTTATGTTGGATTTTGCGAAAGCCAGTCTGAGTTTTCTATTCTTTTCACTTACGAAGAATTTTTTCCTGGCTGCTCTACCGTGATATCCAGCAGATCGAATTACTCTTCTAATAGTCTCAGGATTAACAATTACTCCATATAATGCTTGTAAATCAGCAGCAACTTTAGGAGCACTCATTCTTGGATTTTTTTTTTAATATTTCGAACGATAATTCGCTTTATTCCATTGGATAGCTTTGATGGTCGGCCAGGTCTTCTTTTATCCTGAATCATATGATTCTTTTTATATCGTTTAATGATATTGAAAACTGTTGAATGACTCAAGTTAACTGTTTCAGCAGTTTCTCTAATAGATTTTCCACGTTCAATATGCAAATTAATAACTAATTTTCGAATTTCAGGCAAAGTTTCTTTTCGTTTAGCATTCATGGCTGCACAGAGCTAAAAAACACAAAAAATTCCAAAACAAACTGGAGAGAAAATACTGCAGACGATTTTATAAATTATTGCCAATTGCTTTTGAGTAAAAATAAAAACCCCAAAAAAATATTTTTATTGTAGTACGTAGTAGTATCTAATGGTGTCCCATCACTTATGTGAGCCATTTTTTGCTCCGTTCTAAACAATTGTATTTTTTATTAAATTAATATTTTAATATTTTGAGAAAATGTATGTTATGTAATAATTGTTACTAAATTTAAGTATGAAACACACCCACAAAAAATTTTTTACATGTTTTTTTTAATTTATTTTATTACAGTTTCCTTTTGTAAAGCACAAGTGTCCCATCACTTTTGTGAGACACTGTAATTCTGTTGAAATTATCATTTTTTTTAATGATAAAAAATTAATTTTTTTCGAAATATAAAAAAATTTTTGTACAATCACGTTTCGCAGAACGGTAAGCTTCGGTAAAAAAAAATTTTCTATCGCGGAAATGTGTATCCAAAATTCTAAAGATATGTTCATTTTAAAATTATTTTGTGACATTGCTATTAAACTGAATTTTATGGTTTAAGTGCAAAGAACATGATATTTAATAAATAAAGGTAACACACAAAACGTTAAAAAAAATGCCCCTTTGGACGTAATTAAAAATCTGAAACCTTTCAGATTTTTTTTTAAATTTATTTATTTATTTTTTAAAGATTGTTAGGGTTATTAAGTGGGAGGAATCCAAAATTTCTGTTAAAGGAAGAATTTTTTGGCTAACTAGGGCTAGGACTAATTTTAGTGGTATTTTTATTTTTGAAATAAAATAAAAGGGATTTGAAAACAAGAAAAATAACTAGTAGGTTGAGCACTTGGTCAAAATTTATACAGTGTACAAATAACCACTATTATTTCTAATCAAATTAATTTTCATATTTAATCAAGAAATTGTTTTATGCCCTATTTGTGTATCAAAATTCCTATAAGACTGATTTTTTTATTTACCATATTACTTCAAATTTAAACTACACTTTCTATTTAAAATTTTATGATAGAAATTAGAATGTAGCTTAAATTTGAAGCAAAGTCTTCATTTTAAAATATTTATTTTTTCCAATTTCAAAATCCTATTGCAGCATAAATTCAAAGAAAAATGGTAATTTCATATTTTGCAAACTTT